TCTATTGAACACGTTAAAGAGTTTTCTGATAATTAGTCTTAAATCTGTACCAAGACTAGTCTAGGCAATATTAGTCCTCGCTTTGGACTTCAGTTTCTGTTGTATTGCTTAGGGCATTAGATCCAAACTCGATAGCACCCAACTTGCCAATATTGCATACCGTATATACTTGTCTATAAGTCGATCTGGTGTATAAGTCGAGGGCAGTTTTTTGACCAACAATTGTGAAATATGCTATGACTCGTGGATAAGTCGAGGTTACGTTATTCGAATGGAATTGTTCGACTTCTGTTCGGTTACCCAACAGACTCTGTGTAGTCCCCCTTGTTAACACCTCGTAATCACAGACCACCCCTGGCTGTTAACCACAAACAAGCATTCCCTGGGTGGTCGCCATTCGTATATACGAAAACACGTGTTGTCTCCCGAACGCAGGCAGCGGTACATGGTCATCGACGGCATGGATCTCTGAGTCGGCTACGCAAGCCCGCGAACCCTGCTGAAACGTGTACTCCTTCCCGTTCGACTTACCGACCATCTAGGAGAACGGCATTTGGAAGTCGACATTGCCCTGCATTTGACTCCCGAATGCCGTACAAAATTCTATCGAAACTAGCACTGACCCGTGGATAAGTCAACTCTGCGTTTTAAAATGAAATTTAAGACTAAAATTTCTCGACTTATATACGAGTATATACGGTATCCCATCTCTGTATTTAGATTCTCCTTTTGTCTAGGGAGCTGGTTGAGATATCTCTTATATGGATATAAAAAGAGAAACGTAATTCATCTTCCGGTTTGAGCACCACGTTCTCCTGTACCAATATGCCAAGAAGAGGTGGTATGCTAGTAATGAATGTCAGGTGCTATGCCTTGTTCTCAATACTATCCTATTAATGTTCATAACAGCTTAAAATAAACTGTATGTACTTGAAAAAAACACAATGCACATTTTAGCCTAAAAATGAAAAACTTGGTAAAAAAGTTTAAAAGTTTAAAAAGTTTAAAAACACAATGACTAAAACTGCATGACTATTTATAGAATGGATTTATACAATTGCAGATTTACAAGTATCGCTGATACACTTTCCGGAATTCATCCAAACACACACTGGTTTTCCCTGCCCAGTGATTTTATTAGGATGTCACAATCGATGGTGACGGTTTATGGGAATTGGCGGTGGAGACTCCGCCTTTCGCCAAATATTGCCAACTGTGCCGCTAACATGAGACAAAGTAGTTCTTATTCTGTTTTGCATATATTCAAAGACATTCCAACATAGTCAAAAAGAGCTTCTATCCCTATGAAAAACTCAAATGTGACAGCCTGTTTAAAAATAATGGTAATACGAACCAGTATTGCAGTTAAATACTGTTCTTTTATAATTAAAATGTTGAGGTAGTTTTCTCATATTTGTTTCAATACTTAATTTTGCTCTTAAAATCTATGTCTTTTATGATGTTAGCTCTTTGGTGAAAGATATTTCTCAAAGTTACTTATATCTTTTACAAATTTCTGGTTTATATCTGCTATGTTTAAAAAAAAAAAAAAAAAGGTTTTCATCGTTTTAATACTATTTGCCTATTCCTGCACTATCATTAGTTAACTCAGTGAGTTGCCATTTAATGTAAAAGGCATACTATCATCAAAAAAACATTTGCTTTTACTATTTGTTTTAACAATGTCAAATAACAACCTTCCTGCCAAGATAGTTATGGTAGTCTGAATCCTGTTCTGGTCAAGTAAAATGTTGCAATGATTTAAAGTTAATGAGCAGGTGGAAACTGCATTCCTATGTATAATGTCCTCAATAGATTGCAAGCCTCTGTGTCAACTGGGTCAAATTGATAGAATAGGGAGCACCCTAAGGATTGTGGGTGACACATTAAGTTCAGGCAGATGCAGTCTATACGTTTAAATCCACTAGAGATAGAAACCTGCTTGTTAGAGGAGGACCACTTGTCCTCTGTGCATTTGCTGGCAAAATGTATATGTCCAGTTTTGATACTTGCTAAATATAACTTTGTCAGCCACGTGTTATAGAAGGTAGGTCCACTTTAGCTGTTTATCGTATAGAATATTTGTATAATCTTTTTTTTAATTACATGCAATAGTTTTTTTCTCTATTTTAGATTTCAGTTTTCTTAAGTTGCCTAACCACCAATAAATGCCACTAGTGGCTGTCTGATTGACAGCCACTAGAGGCAGTCTTAACCCTGCAATGTAAATATTGCGGTTTCACAGAAACTGCAATTATTAACTATTGCAGAGTGAAGGGGACAGGGACAGAGCACCCAGGCCACTATAATGAGTGAAGTGGTCTGTGTGCCTATAGTGTCCCTTTAAGACCAGAGTAGCTAAACTGAATTCTGCACCTAAAATGTTTTAAAAAACATATACATTTTCATAATCCCTTACTGCACCTGGTTTTGATGGTATATGTAGCACCTATTCATAGCCTTCTTTTAAAAGCAGTAACATATTTAGAAACATAGAATGATACGGCAGATAAGACCCATTCGGCCCATCTAGTCTGCCCAACCATACTTTCATTAGTCCTTGGCCTTATCTTATAGTTAGGATAGCCTTACGCCTATCCCACGCATCCTTAAACTCCTTTACTGTGTTAACCTCTACCACTTCAGCTGGAAGGCTATTCCATGCATCCACTACCCTCTCAGTAAAGTAATACTTCCTGATATTATTTTTAAACCTTTGTCCCTCTAATATAAGACTATGTCCTCTTGTTGTGGTAGTTTTTCTTCTTTTAAATATAGTCTCCTCCTTTACTGTGTTGATTCCCTTTAAAAAGTAGCACTCCCCGTCAGGTAATCGAACCCAGGTCTCCCTCATGACAGGTGGGGATACTCATCACTACACTAACAAGTATGAGCTTTATGTATGTGCAATATACCTTATCACAAGGGTTACATTCATGGCTATATAATGGATGAAACTGCTAACACATGCTAATCAAAGATTCATAACCTTTCTATAATCTACAGCTCTTTCCAGTATTTGATTGGTAATAGCCAATAGAAAGTCACGGGAGGTATTGGATAAAGAGCAGTTCTAAATGTGGTCCATTCGCCATGGTTACCAATGGAACGTTTCTGCTGATTATCTCATGTTTCGAACTTTGCCCCAGATACTCACAGAATTCCCTCTAAATCAGTGTTTCCCAACCCAGTCCTCAAGTACCACCTACCAGTCCAGGATTACCAAATTTGTCTATCGTTTTTTTATATTTTTTTCTTCTTCTCCTAAAATCACCTTAGACACAACTTGGTAATCCCTAAATCCTGGACTGTTAGGGGGTACATGAGGACAGAGTTGGGAACCACTGCTCTAAGTAATGTTGAAGGGATGTCTAATGTATGCAGAGAAAATTGGCAACGCTTTTATTTCAGATTACAGTAAGCATTTAAGATTTTCAGCCTCTCCAGATTTTTTTTTATGGGGAGGTTATTTTGTGAATGAAGTCCCACGTTCTACAAAGTTCCGCTTTGTTCAGTTCATCCATAGCGTGTCACACTCTATGTTCAAAGCATGACCTCTTCTGGATACTCTCTCATTCTTTGAAATCTGCTTCCCATCTGTATTGGAATCCTCCGTACTGTGTGTTCTTTCTGAGAGTAGGACTCAGAGATTTCTAAGAAGCCTGCACTTCACTTTCTCACAGCTGATGGATAATGAATTGCAGGGCAGTTATGTGGGAAATTGCTTTGATTTAGTAAAAGCAAATGCAAAAACGAAAAGCGAGCTCCAATTTCCTATTATAAAGAATTATACTTTACAGGTTTTCTGGTCTGTTTTGTATAATGAACACTTCTAAAAGCATGTTTTCTGTGAGCCCGATTGCTGGCCAATGTACAGATCAAACATTTATATCTGGCTTTATATTGTACTCAAGCAGACGAGGCCCTATATATTATGTATTTATACAATGCTTAGCAACATTGAGAAGTTTTCAGACAAACAATGAACAATTAAAGGGACACTATTGTCACCAGAACAACTACAGCTTAATGTAGTTCTTCTGGTGTGTATAGTCTGTCCCTGCCGGCATTTTCATGTAAACACTGTCTTTTCAGAGAAAAGGCAGTGTTTACATTACTGCCCACGGACGCCTCCAGTGGCAGTCACTCAGACAGCCAATGTGCAGCACTGAAGTTCAGAGTTTCCAGGTCCTGCATACAGATGTAGTGATTCAATGCATGTCTATGAGGAGATGCTGATTGGTCAGTGTGGTGTTTTGCCACCCGTGCAAATTAGCCTACCAATTCCTTCCTATAGGAAAGCTTTGGATTGACTAAGATTGTCAATTTTAATGATCTAATTCAAGGAGGCAGAGCAGGGGAGCTGGAATAAAGGTAAGCGTTAACCCTATTTGGGGAGGGAGGGGCCTAACATTTGTCAGGAATCATGTAGGGTCAGGAATACATGTTTGCATTAAGAATTCCATTACTGTGTTGCAAGATCAGCAGAAGTATTGATTTTTTTGTTAAAATCTGATCTAGCGGGCGCAGCCTGCATTCAGGCAGCATGGCCGCATAGAGTCAGAGCTCCCGAGCCAGAGGCAACTTAAGCATTAAGCAGCGGCACAATTCAGCATTTTTCCGACAAAAAATAAGGGTACCCATCATGTCTCAGAGGGGGACATGGAAAACCGTGGACCCTAAGGAGAAACACTACTTTCGTACAGCGAAATCGGCGAATGCAAAGTCTGTCACGTGGCAGGCCCAAGATGGCGACAGGAGTGGGGATAAGAGGGAAACCGTGAGTCCTCAGTCCCCACAGGACACTCTGCACATACCCTTGTGATAAGAAGCACAAACAATTCTTGCTCCCTACTTTAGTGCAGTCACTGCGATGGGGTGTGGGTTGTGATTGCATGTCAGTGAGAGGGAGATGGGGAACAGGGTCCAGGGGACCCAAGCTAATGCTTGCCCAGGGTCCAATCAATATTAAAGATGGCCCTGGCTGTAGTGTATCAACAGCAAAACAAAAAAAGGGATCAACAGCAAAAAACTAATGTGAGAAAGACTGAACTTGATCGACACACATCTCTTTTCAGCCTATGTAACTGTATAAGGAATATACAATGTATAGTTTGTGTCTGTGTTGATATATGTGTTTATTATGTGTGTGTATAGTGTGTTTAGGGGGTATAGCTTGTGTGTAGGTGGTATAGCGTGTGTGTAGAAAAGTACTGTGTATATGTAGGGAGTTAAGTGTATGTGTATAGGGGCTGTTGTGTAGTGTGTATAAGGAATAAAGTGTGCATTTACAATGTATAATCGGTGTTGATATATGTGTTTACTATGTGTGTGTGTATAGTGTGTGTAGGGGTAAAGCTTGTGTGTAGGTGGTGTAGTGTGTGTAGAAAAGGATTGTGTGAGATATGGGCTTTTATTACCCACTCTCTGTTGTTAACTTGCAGGGAGTGGGTACATGCCGTTCAGTGGGCTGCTTATCTGGTATGTATGTCCTCCAGTTGCAGATTATGAGCATTTCTCTCATGAGTTCCAGCACCTACGCGGCAATGCTTGGACAATAACCACTGAAGCTCACAAACAAAGGGCAAAGACTGCCAGGCTTCCCCTACCCTCATGGCGTTCGGGCACCCCCTAAAGGGACACTCCACTGCCCAAATACAAAGACAAATAATTATTTAGTAGTTATAACCCCAATGGAAACATGCATGCATTTAGTTATGCATTTTTTCCTTTGTGGGGTATATCTAAAAACAGCTTGCAAAAGACACAGATGTTGATTTTGGTGATTTCTGTTTGAGCTCAATAAGAAGACTCTGATTGGTAATTTTTCTAGCACAGACTGAAAATATGCTCCGGGGGAAATAAGGGAGGGCTTGGAAAAGGCGGCAGAAAGCTGTTTTTAGATATAAATCCAAAGACCCAGTGTATGAATAAATGTATGCAAGTTTGCAGTTGGGGTATATCTACTAAATAGTGTTTTGTCGTGTTGTCATTTTTGGGCAGTGGACTGTCCCTTTAAAGGAACACCATAGCATTAGGAATGTAAAGCTATAGTGTTTTAGTAACAATTAAAATTATCACACCCCTCTGTGCACAGAAATGTTTTACTCACCTTTATTCCCATGTCACACTGGTCTCTGCGTGGCAGCCTCACCTCCCTAGCTGAGATCACGAATTCTTAGGATCTCAGACAATCCAATGCTTTCCATAGGCAAATCGCTACACTGCACCAATCATGATCTGCTAATAGAGATGCATTGACGCTGCATCTCCAGGGGGTGCGTTTAGCATTTTCATGAAGACTATAGCAATGCTGAACATCAGCTTTGCAATCTTTGCAGAGCCGAACCCAGAAAATCCCCCTAGTGTTGAGGACTACAGTTCCCATAATGCTCATTTAGCTGTAATTCTGGCAAAGCATCAGGGGAGATGTAGTTCATCTGGAGTGGCGCTGGTTCCCTACCCCTGCTTTAGTGACTGTCAGTAGAAGTGGCCTTATGTTGCATTGTAAACACTGCCTTTCCTTTAAATTGCTGAGGCTGCCGGGACAGACTATTAGTCCCAGAACTACTACATTAAGATTTACTGACTCTGGTGCCTATAGTGCCCCTTTAATTGATTTAACTGCAAAACTCCAGCAAAACTAATTGTAAACCCATTGTCTTATTTTACTTAATCTCTAACTTCCACATGTGATGCATTTATGTATATATTGTAGTATGTTTACTCCAAAGCCAATATCTCTAACTGTAGTGGTTATGGTAATGGAAGTGTGCCTTTAATAGTTCTATTTTTTTTTTTTTTTAATAATGGTGCCAATAAGGTGAGGGTAACATGTATACATTCCTTGCAATTCTGCTCTAGACTAGATATTTCTGGAAGATTATCCTTGTTTGTGGCTTGTTACATCCTATGTTGCAATCGAAATGCTTTATATTGAGGTCATGTAGAATGATTTACTAGTTTATGAGTTTATGAGCGCAACTGCTTATACTTTGTATATTTTCTGATGAAGCAAATTGTGTCTTGAGTTGTAAAAATGAAACTGGCTAATAAAATGGGATTTGGTACAAACCTTGGAGTATGCAAGGGATGTCTTATCTGATTGGCCAATGTATTTTTTATTTGTTTACTTCATGTCCATCCCTTGGCATTCTTTGGCCTCCCGTGCTTTCAACCATCGCCCCCCTCGTTTACCATTGTTCTCTATCCACCACCTCTATTTACAAGTCTATAAACCATTCTAGTACTCTGTCATCTCCCTTGACAAGCTGTGGGGCCAGTGACAAAGTGCCACTTTCCTGTAGGGACTAAACATTCTCTGGCAATTTAGCTGGTAGACTCTGTCGGCATAGTGTGAGATTGCAAACCTATACTAGGTTCAAAGTATCAAACAGTCTCTAAATCTTAGAAGATTTTAATTACTATAATAAAATGTTTATTTTTTAATTAGGCCATACAATGCTTTGAATGATCACCATTTAGGGAAAAGTTAGTTATTTCAAAAGTCGCTCCCTAGCAAGTCCTGCATTCAGAGAGACATGGTCATTTAGTCTGTCTGTCTGCCTGTCTGTCTCCCAAGGTAGCATAGAACAGCTATCCATAATCTACAGGTAGAGATTTGGATACACATTGATTTTCATCTCTTGAAACAAATCTCCGAGCACATCATTATTGGTCCCATCAGAATGTGTGAGAGCTTGAGAATGAGATTGTATGTGAGAGAGATATTGAGCAAGTGTGCGAGAGACCGCAAGAGAGCGTAAGAGATTCCTGGTTAGATTCTACTATCAGATACAAACTTGACTCTGGTATTTATAAGAGATAACCTTATCTTATCTGATGGTATGAAGTCCCCAGAAGGTTGTTTAATTTGGCAATAGAGCTGTACTTTTTCTCCTGTTTTCTTGAATCCTCTCTTTGTCCAGACATTGACAGTAAAGACATAAAACGTAGATGTAAAATGTTGACAGTTAGCTGTGGATAATAGCATCTCCTGGATATTTCAGAAGGGTTCGCAAAGTTAAAGATCCAAAGTTTAGAAAAAAAAATTTGAAGTTCCTTATTTTGCTAATTTAGCATTATCTAAAAACATACCAGAATCCAAAACTGATCCACTATTAAAGAGAATTGTCAATTCCCAGTATATTTAAAGGGACACTCCAGTCAATATAACAACTTCATCTAAATTAAGTTGTTATGGTGCCAAGAGGCCTCCAGGTGCACTCTTATCTTCAGTTGTTAAACCGTACTCAAATGATTTTCCCTTAAAGGTTGGCCCCAGCGTCCATCCCCAGGTCACCCTGGCAGCATCTACAAAGAAAAAAAGCTACTGATTGGCTTAGAGAGTCAGCTGACCGCTCTAGCCTATCAGCGGTGGCAATCTTGCTTCCTGTAAGTGAGTTTCAGAATCCGGATGCCGCTTGGGGGACCTGGAGGTTGGTGCTAGAGGTAACTTTTGGGGTTCAATGTTCGAGAACGGTTTAACCCCTTAAAGTAAGAGTGTGCCCGTTTAGATGTAGCTGTTATGGTGACTGGAGTTAATTTCATGTTTACTTACCTGTATATTTAACAAATATATATTTGTGAAATGTGAAAAATAAAATTAAATGTAGAAATCTGCACCTCCTTATCCTGAAGCTGGGCACCTCCCTTTTCAATAATTATTATACGCTCTGTCCTTTTTTGAGAATTTTGATGTAATCAATAAAGACCTACAGAATGAAATAATAAAGGTCAAAGAATATCAGACCAATCCAGACTATACCCTAATGGAAACTAAATTACAAAAAAACATTGATAGCTTTACCAATCACATCAAAGAAAATAAACATTTTAAGTTTCAACGTGATTTTAAGGACTTCAAGGAAGGAAGACAACAACAAAACAGTAGCCTTCTTAGACACACCTCCTCCCTCTACTACTGTACCTTCCTCTGGTTCCACCTCTTTTTTAGACCAGGCCTGGCCCCTACCCCAGCGGGGCAGACTACGGGACCGACAGAGGTGGGGTTACAAATCGGAACGCAACAACTTCCGCAAATAGATACACAGAATTGGGATATTACCAAAATGAAGATAATCAACTTCGAAATCGATTTTTCCACTTACACCTGACCATGTCTCACTACTAAACAAAGGTCTGTCATTTGTTCCTACACCGAGTGCGGACAGGTTTGAGTGGCTTAAAGACGTTAATCTGTTTGGCCGCAAACTTGCCTTGTGCTCTTTACATAAAAAAAAAGACAGCAAAATTGCTAAAGAATTAGGCCTTACCAATGAGGATTATACACATTTTCAATCATTGGTACAGCTCCTTGAAGAACAGGACACTACCCCTCCCCTCACAAATTTTAGACCTTTAAGCTGGTTTACCCCAAACCTTAGAGACGACATTAATGTGGACTTTTTTGTCAAGATGACTACTGACACTATAGAATCTCTACCCAACCCAAGGATCTATTAAAACCATCTGTCCATTGCTGAACAAAAAGCACTTAAAGAACTAAGTCTACATAAAGATCTAGTTATAAAACCCACTGATAAGGGGGGTCATATTGTCATACAAAATAGAAATGCATAGATTGAAATGTGTATGCAACATCTTAACGATACGACCTGTTATAAAAAACTTGATGGAGATCCCACATCCTCCTTCTTGTCCTCCTTAAAAACCTTACTGAACTCAGCCCTGGAAGAAAACATCATCACCATTGAGGAATTGAGATTTATGATGCCAAAAAACTCACCAACCATAGCCACTTTCTATTGCTTGCCGAAAGTGCACAAAGACCAATTTAAACCACCAGGTAGACCGATAGTGTCTGGGAACCAATCCCTAACAGAGAATGCAAGTACATTTTTGGAAAATCGATTACATCCGTTTGTCATTCAATTATCATCCTACTTACAGGACACGAAACAAACATTACTTACCTTGGAAAATTTGGAGGTGCCCCCATACACCATTCTTGCCAGTATTGACGTTGAATCATTATACAACAACATTCCACATACAATAGGAATCAAGGCAACATCCTATTTTCTGGCAAAATACCCCAAATTTTCACAGTCACACATAAATGTTCTTTTAGATTTACTTTCTTTCATTCTCAGATACAATTATTTTGTTTTTAATGGCACATATTATTTACAGCTGAGAGGCACAACTATGGGGACTGCTTGTGCCCCCAGCTACGCAAATCTGTACTTGGGATGGTGGGAAGAAACTATACTAACTCAACGAGATGAAGCCCTTAACCAATATATCTATAGTTGGTATAGGTATATGGACGACGTCCTGATATTCTGGACTGGACCAATTAACAAGTTCAATGACCTGGTCATTACACTCAATAATAATGACTTAGGACTATCCCTAACCTCAGTCATTAATGAGAACTCTCTGGAATTCCTTGATTTAAAAATCACATTGACGATGGGAGGCACAGTGGAGACAGAATTATTTAGAAAACTACTGCTAAAAATAATCTTCTCCACTGGAAAAGTCACCATCCGGTTAAAATGAAGGCAGGTATCCCTTACGGCCAATATCTTCGCGCAAGGAGAAATTGCTCTAATGGCATCACTTTTTATAATCAAGCAAAAGAGATTAAGAAAAGATTTAAAGAACAGGGCTATCCCAATAAGATTCTTAAGCAAGCGTACCAGAGAGTAACTAAGATGGATAGACATACCTGCCTCCGTACATCAAGACCTAAACCATCTCAGAATGTGATCAGATGTATAGATACATTTGACCAGTTTTGGGAACCTGTGAGAAAGATATTCTCCAATAACTGGCCTATACTACTGCACGATAAGGAATTTACGGACAATATCACCAACTACCCAAGTATAACAGCACGAAGACCAAAAAATCTGAGAGATTTACTCATCCACCACCATTTAGAACCACCCACTACCACCTCAGGGTGGCTATCAAAGAATAAGGGTGTGTATAAATGCGGCTCCTGTAAGGCTTGCAAACACATTCATGTTTCCAAGTCTATACAGAGGTCAATAACTATGAATCAGTATCCTATACGAGACTTCATTAACTGCAGTACTACAAGAATAGTCTATGTCATCACATGTAGGTGCAACCTTCAATATGTTGGAAAAACCTACCGGCAGTTTCGCAGACACATACTGCAACACGTTAATTCCGTAACCAATACCAACATAGGCACACCCATTTCCAACCATGTCCGCTCCCACCACCAAGGTGACACTTCAAATCTCAAATTCCAGGCAATTGAAAGATTAACAACAAATTCCAGAAAGGGTGATTTTAATGTGAGGCTGCTTAAAAGAGAGTCCAAGTGGATCCACAAATTGAAAACATTAGCACCTTAGGGACTTAATGAAGAGTTTAATTTCACCCCATTCATACACTGACCATGGGTTTAACTGTTAAAATCCCATGCACTAACCCATTCTGTTCAGTTAAGATCTAGAGACTTTTCTGTCTAACTTTAGGGTCTTTATTGCTTAATTCTTATCCTTCATTATGGATATTGCCAGGTGGTTTTATTATCACTTACTGTCTAATTTACTATATTTAAACTATACACTGTAGGATATAGATTCCCTAATAACAAGCTCTTTTTTTAATCTTTTTTTTCTCTGTATTCAAACCACCCCCGAAAGGGTTAATTGGATTCTAGATACTCATTTTGATGTCAAGCTTTAACCAGCCCATCACTGAAAGGGTTAATTCACTTGTATCCACCCACCAGGGTGACTTCTCAGATTCCTGATTGGCTGAAAAGTTTTCAAACCAGCCAATCAGTTTGTACTCAAACATATTTAACAGGGCTCCACCAGAGGCCCAGTTCCCCTCTGAAGAGCCAGAGAGGCGAAACGTGCGTCAGGGGAAACACCGGCGCTATCCATGAGTAACCTCCCCAACAGTGACTGCACATTGAAATAGACTTCCAGCAATCTCCAGCTTCTGTAGCTCTACTATCTAGTTAAGCTCTGATCCGTGCGGACAGCCACTTTACTGCACTATCATAAGCAATTGAGGAGCTGACAGTTTATTCTGATATTTAATCAGCAATTTTAGCCACTTTTTAGTGTAATTGGTGAGCAAGGTTTTTGCACTCTCTGCTTCCTAGGCAGAATTACTGGCGGGAGGCTGTATAGACCAGTGTTTAGGGATTTGCAGGCTTTATTTAAGGGGTGCCCTCCAAGGCACAAGCACTTAGGGACTTTGAGAATAACTCAGGAATTTCTCCACTATTGTTGTCTTAAACCCACACTATCTCTGTGATATATATTCCTGCATAGCGATATCAGTTCTTCCTCCCACACAACAATACATGGTCTGAGACACCAACAGGTATACAGTTTACTTTTTATTGACAAAACAATACTCTGAGAACAGGGTGTTATATACTACTTTGAACTCGAGACTGTAATATTGTGTCGCCAGGAAAATTTATTGTACCACTTCCCCTTGCAGCGGGTTAATTTATCGGATTGAAATAATCCCTGCAATTTCACTATCTCCATACTAACGCAGACGAGCCAGGACTAGTTATACTATTTAACGGTCTGACCTTAAGGACGCGACAATTGCTGCAGCCTATTACTACAGTGGAGTGACAGCAATCCTATATTTGTACACCAGTGCTCTGAGCTACTACTGTATTGTGTATGGCAGCCCTTGATACATTGCTTATAATTTATTGCAACTTTACATTTGTTATCAGAAGAAGGGCTGTATGCACAGATACACATACTTTTGCATTTACAAACTATTAGTGTTCTTAGTCTGTGCCCTGTATAATTGGTGAGCAGGGTTTTTGCACTCTCTGCTTCCTAGGCAGGATTTCTGGCGGGAGGCTGTTCAGACCAGTGTTTATGGATTTGCAGGGTTTAGTTAAGGGGTGCCCTTAAAGACACAAGCACTTAGGGATTTTGAGAATTACTCAGGAATTTCTCCACTATTGTTGTCTTAAACCCACACTATCTCTGCGATATATATGCCTGCATAGCGATATTAATAACCCATTCTGGTTCTCCCTCCCACACAACAATACATGGTCTGAGACACCGACAGGTATACAGTTTACTTTTTATTGACAAAACACTCTGAGAACAGGGTATTATATACTACTTTGTACTCGAGACTGTAATATTGTGTCGTCAGGCAAATTATTGTACCGCTTCACCTTGCAGCGGGTTAACGTATCGGATTGAAATAATCCCTGCAATTACACTATCTCCGTATTAACGGAGACGAGCTAGGACAAGTTATACTAATTAGTGTTCTTAATGTGTGCTCTTTTGGTTTTTATTTTTTTAGTATTAAAAGTTAAGTTTTATATTTAAAGTGATACACACTATTTGTACCACTGACTGTCCCCCTCCCTTTTAAGGGACTTACACTCTTCAGGACACGCTACCATAATTCCTTTTCTCCTGTTTTTTTTGTCTCTTCTTTTTGTTTAGGTGACTGGAGTTAATTTCATGTTTACTTACCTGTATATTTAACAAATATATATTTGTGAAATGTGAAAAATAAAATTAAATGTAGAAATCTGCACCTCCTTATCCTGAAACTGGGCACCTCCCTTTCAATAATTATTATACGCTCTGTCCTTTGCCCCTGGCAGTCAGCATAGAGAAAGCATACAGAAAAGAGGAGAAATTAAGCAATGGTTCTATTTCTGCTCTTTTGCAATGAATAGCCTTCTCTGAACTGGATTATGATGTAATGTACTAAATATCTACCATAAATTTATAAGAAAACAGAGGATTTCACAAAAAAAGCTAAATGGAACACTACAGACCCCCAGAGCACTCCAGCTTTATGTGTGAAGACTGTCCTCAATTTTACTGTTTTTTTAATTTTATTTTATAAAAAGTGCAGCTTTCAGTAGAAATTGACAATTTTATAACTTGACCTTGTTACACACCCCTGGCTGTCAATCAGAGAGCCGGTCCTGTTACTTGGTTTGTTTTGCTCAATGGAACTTAACTCAAGAGGCAGCAATTGCCCAGAGCGCCTGCCTTGAACTGTATTGGGAAGTCTGTGATTGGACAGACACATGAAGTCTGGGTGGGGTTAGAAGGGGAGGGCTCCCAAAGGCAGCAGACAAGAGAACTGCAGCTTTTATAAGCCGTTTTGCTGTTTTTAGATATACCCGAATGTTAAATGCATGTTTTTATGGGGCTATATCTGCTAAACAGAGATTTTTTTTATTTTTTTTGGCAGTGGAGTGTTCTTTTTATACAAGTTATATAGGATTATCAATGTTATACGTGGTTATTTTCTGCAGTTATGTAACTTCAAGATAAGCGACTGTTCCCCCAGATGTCAGGAGTCAAGAATGTATAGATTTTGAGACGTGATGTGGAATAAGCACAATGCTTTTGTTTGTCCTTCTCTGCTTACTGCCAATCGCTCATTTGTACATTATCTTCCAGGCATATATAATCTGTGCATTGGTGTTTGGACAGGCCACAGTTACTAAATATTAAAACAATGAGTAACTTGCAAACTTTAACCATTGAGAAATGTCTGTGTCTAATTATAATTTGGATGTTTGTGGGACACCAAAGAAAACTGGCAGGAAAAGTTTGAAAACTGGTTCTTTGTGCCAAGTTATAAAATATTCAGTAGTGTTCTTTAGCAAAAAGAGCTCCCCAGTTGCCTGGCCCCTTTCTGTACAGCCCAGAGCTAATTACAAACAAACACCTATTCACTTCCATCTGAACATAGTTCAACTTTTCTTTGCAGAGCAAAGCCACAGACCAAACAATATATCATCTATAACTCTATGTCTGGCTGCAGACTGCTATTCAGAACAACAGAGACACAACACAAGGATCTCTCGACTATCAAAACCCGAGCTGGACAGAGACCAAAGACATTTTCTTACCAAGATTCGCCAGGAATTTTCTTATGCCATGGATTACGGAATTACACGGTGGGTTTCAAATTTTAATGCTTGCATGTAAACATTCAGTTGGCTTTTTACGTTTTCAGATCCGTGAGCGCACAGGATGAAAAAAAGATAATTTAATGGAGATTATACCAATTTCTAAAAATCCACAGGGAAAAAACATCATATACACCTAATGAAGAACCCACTGTTTGCAGTTTAGAAATCAGTTTTTTGTTTTTTTTCTACAGTCAGGAACGGATTAATAAAATCTTCATGTTCCATGTAAAAAAAAAAGAATTTTTAGATAGTCTAAAATTCTTCTGCAATATATTCCCTTATGCACATAAATACACAACTATTTATGTAAACAGTGATTTACTCATAGTACACTTAGATCCCCCTCACACTGACACTTTATGCAATTCCTGATATACTAATTTAAGGCCAGAGTAGCCAATCTGAAAAAACTGAGAATTGTTCCAGTTTGGCAATTTTACATTAAACTTGAAATTCCCTTTTAATTCACCTTAAATAACACCGTTAGTGATTAACGCTTTCAAATCTATGCGTTTTAAGAGATTACATTTGCTAGACATATTTCAGTAATAGTAACCTAGAAATGAAATGTACAATGTACCCTATTGTCTATTAATCAAATGACCATGAAAAGTAAGGTGTGTTTTAAGTTATTTATACGAGGAACAGAGTATTGTCAGTTTCTTATGCATTTACAACAGTAATCACCATTGCAGTGCTTACTGGGGTGAACAGAGCACAAGAGGTAATTAAAACATTAACTTCTGCTGAATTTCTGTTTTTTGCAAGGCTACTCATCCATATGTTGCTTTGGGTGCACGCATTCCAGCTCAGGCATCTAACACGCGCAGGCTTCCCTGGAATATTCTCTTGCTGTGCTGCACATGTGCATGCGCACCCAGAGCAGTTTTTTAATTTGATAATGCAGCTGTAAGTGTTCTCCTGATTACCTGACTCCTCTCTCTGTCCAGTCAGTAACATGTTAGGGCAGTTTGCTGTGGATAATGGCATCTCCAGGGTATTTCAGAAAGGACTCTGAAAGTTAAAGGGACACGATGGTCATCAAAACGACAACAGATTAATGTAGTTGTTCTGGTGTCTATAGCCTGCCCCTGCAGGCTTTTAGAGAAAATGCAGTGTTTCTATTACTGCCTAGTAACATCTCTACGTCTGAGTGACTGCCACTAGAGGTGATTTCTAGTCCAATGGTGCACAGTGTGCACCACTGACGTTAATATTGGCGCAGAGCAGTGAATAACAGTGCATGCTCGATTGCCTCCCAATACTTTCCTATTGAAAGCATTGGATTGGCTGAGATCATCAAGATTGATAATCTTAGGTTCTCAGCCATGGAGGCGGGTCCAGCTGCGGCGATACTGACACGGCGTTGGAGAAAAAGTAAGTACAATTACGTTTAATATCAACAGAGAGGGAGCCGGGGACCTAATGATTTATTCCTACACTATTTTACCTTTAAAGACTTGAGAGATTAGAAAAATGTACGATACATTTTGTGTGTTTTACTAAAGAAAACATTTATAAACTTGTAGCAGCTTCCAAAACTGAGATACATTAACTAGACATATTTCTGAATAGTAATAGTATAGAAATGCAATGTATAATATAAAACGAGCCATTGTATTCAATCACCATAGTTACATAGTTACATAGCTGAAAAGAGACTTGCGTCCATCAAGTTCATCCTTCCTCACATTTGTTTTTTGCTGTTGATCCAAAAGAAGGCAAAAAACCCCAGTTTGAAGCACAATTTTGCAACAAGCTAGGAAAAAACTCCTTCTTGACCCTAGAATGGCAGTGAGATTTGTCCTTGGATCAAGCAGTTATTACCCTACATTTAAAGATTATATCCTTGAATATTCTGTTTTTGCAAGTATGCATCTAGTAGCTGTTTGAACATCTGTATGGACTCTGATAAAACCACTTCTTCAGGCAGAGAATTCCACAACCTGATTGTTCTTACAGTAAAAAAACCTTTCCTTTGCCTTAGACGAAATCTTCTTTCTTCCAGTCTAAACTCATGGCCTCGTGTCCTATGTAAAGTCCAGTTTGTGAATAGATTTCCACACAATGGTTTGTACTGGCCCTGAATATATTTGTATAATGTTATCATATCCCCTCTCAGGTGGCGTTTTTCTAAACTAAATCGGTTTAAATTTGTTAACCTTCCTTCATAGCTGATATGTTCCATTCCTTTTATTAATTTTGTAGCCCGCCTCTGCACTTTTTCTAGTGCCATAATATCCTTCTTTAGAACAGGTGTACAAAATTGCACAGCATATTCAATATGTGATCTTACCAGTGATTTATAAAGAGGCAAAATGATATTCCCGTCCCGAGAATGAATGCCCTTTTTCATGCATGACAATACCGTACTGGCCTTGGCCACTGCTGATTGACATTGCACATTGTTGTATAGTTTGTTGTCTATAACAATTCCCAAGTCCTTTTCGTGCGTTGTTATCCCTAATTCACTTCCATTAAGGGTATACGTTGCTTGTGTATTCTTTACGCCGAAGTGCATAATTTCATCTGCCATTTGAGTGCCCAGTACCCCAGTCTCTCTAATCCCTCTGTAGCAAAGTAATATCTTGCTCACATTGTATTATTTTACAAAGTTTTGTGTCATCTGCAAACACTGAAACATGACTTTCAATGCTGTCTTCAAGATCATTTATAAACATGTTAAATAGAAGGTGTCCCAGAACAGACCCCTGAGGGACACCACTTGCCACCTCTGTCCAGCTTGAAAATTTACCATTAATGACAACTCTTTGTACTCTTTGTTTTTAAGCCAATGTTCTACCCAAGAACAAGCATTTTCATCTAGACCAATTTCCTTGAGTTTGAACACTAATCTATTGTGTGGAACTGTATCAAATGCCTTGGCAAAATCCAAATAGATCACATCCACTGCAACACCCTGATCTATACTTCTACTTACTTCTTCATAGAACGCAATCAAGTTAGTTTGACATGACCTGTGCTTCATAAAACCGTGCTGATTTTTGCTGATAACCATGTTCTTCTCAAGGAATTCTTGAATATTATCCCTTAATAACCTTTCAAATATTTTACCAGCCACAGAAGTTATACTCACAGGTCTATAATTTCCAGGCAAGGATTTTAAACCCTTTTTGAATATAGGAACATCATCTGCCTTCCTCCAATCCTCCGGAACACTTCCTAAAAGAAAAGAATCTTGAAAGATTAAAAACTGAGGTTCAGGGGGGCGGGGCCTGGCCACAAAGCAGAGAGGACGCTTGCCTCAGCAGCTCCGGCCACCGGGAACGGCAAAAGCAAGATAAAGCAAATAAAACGACAACAAAACGACAAACAAAGATTACCCAGTGCAAGGGTACACCGGGGTGCACACGCAGACACCAATCAACTTACAACTTAAGAGGTACGCACCCGACACCCTGGCAGGGCCTACTAATATGGCGCATGCGGGAGAGACGGCCGCTCTCCTGAAGCCAAAAATCGACTGGAACCCTGTCCTGGGACCCTTCGTTCCCCCCCCCTTTGGCCCGGTGGGGGTTATCCCGGGCTACCCCCAATCGAGCACATGGACAAGCTATCCCCATGTGAGACTGGCGCAAGGTCCGGAGGTCATGACTACGACATACAAAATGGCGGACAAATCGAGCACCACAGCCTACTGCTATGCTGCCAGAGAAACGGAGACCAGACTAAACTACATCTTCGGATTATTGTGGGAGAAGCTAGAGGTACTTCTGGGGCCCCCGACACCAGAGATACCACCCGATGGCACAATACAGGGCCAGACTAGGGAGGTTGCAGAGAGGGGCAAAGGGATCCCCCTAGACTCCGCTCCCAAGACGGTCAAACACCAGAAAAGGACCACAATGTGGAGACACACCAAGAGTAACCATAGCCAGGGACCGGCCATCCGGACGCCCCTAGAGACTTACCTGCCTGCACAAGCACTCGCAAACCCCGGCGGCAGACGCAGAGCTCAGAGCCCTGGGGTAGCCCGCATCAAGCGGCAATGCCGCCAACGGAAGAAGGCAGTATACAAACGGTCAATGCAGAACGGCACCCACAAATTAGGCGGGAGACCCCCCAACCAGACGGCAATACGCAACGGAAGGTTAAATGCCCCCCACAGTCTGACATACCATCAAGGCACTCACTTATTGGGACTTGCATCACAGAGCTGGTTACTTAGCTCCACTAGATGGGACTTTGACTTGCCCCTGAAAGGCATCGGCTAAAGGACACCAGGAATATCCACATGTGAAGCACCAGGCTCAACACCACGCCAAAATACCCTGCCTCTCCATACTCCCCAGCAAACGTTAACTGGACTCCCACACCTATCACAAAGGACCTTATGGGCAAGACCCTATATGCAGACCAAACCCTCTAGCAAGACTCATGCTACTATGTGCACTTTCCGCTTCTCATGCAGAGTTCCTTTATGTTTTGCTTTTTCTTTTTTTTTTTTTATTTACTCCACTACAGTGGATCAAGCTGAACCTACTTGGTTCAAAAGATAACACGAGCAAAGCAAACACTGAGCAACTGATGCACACATGCTCTCACAAACTGCCTCAGTATCAACCTATCCTTAATCGTAGACACGTAGGCAGGCATTCGCAGATTTAACTGTCACTGACACCGCCAGACTGCGCCATAGCTCTCTCGAACCATAACCATAAAACGCGCTGAAACAGCTTCAGGAACTATAGACACGTACACTCATGCTTGTTAAACTACCCAATACTCATTATAAATACGTCAGTTAATATGGATTGCTTACCACACCAGGTTGTTTACCTCACTAACTGACATTTGTTATGTTATTGTTCCGCGCCTGTTATCATTATAATATAAAAATGTGCAACTTCTATTGATGCCATACTAATAATACCCTTTATCTGTTATACTATGCTGGATAATGCTGATGTGGCACATAAAGCTTGAATGTTGATACTTGCACAATAAAAATAAAGAATAAAAAAAAAAAACTGAGGTTCACTTATTTCTACACTTAATTCCTTAAGTACACGTGGATGCATACCGTCAGGCCCTCGAGCTTTGTTTATATTAACTTTCTTTAGTTGCTGCAGCACCTTGTCTTGAGTTAACCAATTACAATTATTCTGCAAGTTTTTAGTAGCAATCATTTGCACAATAGTTATTTAAAATTTCTGCCTTTTCCTGGTCTTCATTAACTAACACCCCCGTTTCAGTTTTTAGTGTACCTACACTTTCATTTTTGTTTTTTTTAGAATTTACGTACTTAAAAAATGCATTGGGGTTGGTTTTGCTCTCTTTAGCTATCATTTTTTCATTTTGAACCATGTAGTTTACCCTATTGCCTGTTATTCAAATTTCCATGAAAAATCAAGTATTCTTTTCAAATAATTTTTATTGAAAGATTTTTCAGATTTTACAAGTAATAAAAAACAATAAATTAGGGGAGGGGAAAGGAAGGAAAAACTTGGAAGTGGGAAAAAGGGGGTATCCATCCATTATAACAGTAAGTATGTTAATGTACAAGGCACTTACGTTGAAAAACATTCCATAACAAGTTATTAAAGGTAACATGTTTTTTTGACATCGGTTTCCCATTGATCCCAGTAGTATTTCAATTGTGCAAATATATGTGTGTTATTTCTATGTGATAATTCGTATGATTTGTTTTCTAGTGTTAGTGTTACTACTTCTTTAACTGAGGGTGTGTTCTTAGATTTCCAATATCTAGGTAGGCATGTGGTTGCAGCTATCAGAATGTGGCCCGCTATAATTCTATCAATTTTACTGATGGATTCAGGGAATTTTTAAAATAGAGCCAGTTTAGATGTGAAGCTACCTATGTTACTGTTCACCTTAATAATTAAGTCATGTATCATTTTCCAATATCTAGTCAGTCTTGGGCAAAACCACCATATGTGGGCCATGTTGCCCAGTCCTCCGCAATCTCTCCAACACCTATCGCTGTACTTATTATTCATATTATGCCATTTAGACGGGGCCAGATACCATCGATACAGAATTTTAAAGTGGTTTTCGTGATGGTTGGAACAGAAAGATAGGCCCTTCAGAGATGAAAAAAAACTGAACCAATCCTCCAACTTATATTGGGAACCCAGCTCCGTCTCCCAGGAACTCATATGCTTCAGTTTAATTGATGGTTTATCGTTATGTAACATATAACAGATAGATATAATGCCCTTCCTATTCGGATCATGCAAAAAATAGCTTTTCTAGTTGTGATATTTCTAGTGCTTTATAATTTTTTTAAAAATTTTTTTTGTTATTCTTTATTTTTGTTAGTGAAAATGAGTACAAACATGCTTGCAGTGCCCCAATAGCGAGTGCGAGCAATTCAGAAGCAATCTTTGGCATAGCTAAGACTTTTTAGGTAACATAGATAACAAACTTTGTCATGGCTAAGACTTTGCACATTTTTAGTTAAAGTATATAACAAACTGTGGCATAGCTAAGACTTTGCACATTTATAGTTAATGTAGATAAACTTTGTCCATGGCCAAGACTTTGCACAATTTGTAGTTAAATAGAAAACAAATTTTGGTATAGCTAAAACTTTGCACATTTGTTGTTAAAATATATATACATAGATAACAAACTTTGTCATGGATTTGCACATTTATAGTTAACGTAGATAAACTTTGTCCATGGCCAAGACTTTGCACATTTTTTTTTTTTTTTTTTACAGGCTGGGTGGCCGAGGTATGTGTGCATGGTATGCAGTGAACTGGCTGCAATCTCTTGTGTGAATACAGTGATAGTATAAGATTTAGGTTGTGTTAAGCCTAATCAGCAGGACATGCAAGACAAGTAAACAATTGTAACACTGGAGGAGTCTTAAGGGGTTAACACTGTTTGGGTTTTATCAGACAGTCCCGGTCAAGGAGTTGGTATAGTTGTTATTGCCCCTGAGGGCTTCATGTTGTGTCATCAGCGGGGGAACCGTAACTGGGCCGTTGCGGGACAAAAGTTTTCACCCTTGTCGGGTCCAATCTGTGCTGCGGTTTGGAGGCTCCGGAGTGAGCCGGGGGTTGCATAGCCTCCTGGGGTATTCCCAGTTTAGGAAGTAAGTCCTCTGCTCCCTTCATGTCGAGGACCTCATGTGTGTTCTCGCCGTGTATCACCAGCAGGGAGCGGTTGAGACGCCACCTGTACTTCGTTCCTTGTTGTTGAAGGAGTGCTGTGAATGGCCGAAAAGACCTCCTCCAGGCCAGGGTGCTGCTGGACAAGTCTGCAAAAAAGGAGAGTGACGTGGATTCAAAAGGGTACTGGGCATGGTTTTCCATCCATCTCTGCCTATTTTTTTGACTATTAAAGCTTACAACCACTGCAGCGTTAGTTGCAAAGTAGTACTTTCTGAAATTAGGGACACCAATGCCCCCATGAAGTTTTTGGTGCTGCAGGGATGTAAGCTTAATTCTGCTGGGTTTGTTGTTCCAAATAAATTTTAGCATTATTGAATGTACTTTGTTAAAGAAGGACATTGGATCAGATAAGGGGATAGTTCTAAAATAGTACAAGATTTTTGGGAGGATTGACATTTTTATGGAGGCAGTTCTTCCTAACCACGATAACTCCATACCACCCCATCTCTCCATCTCCTTGTGTAGGTTCAGCAATGCTCTCTTCAAGTTATGAATATGCATATTGGGTAAATGTTTGCATAAATTAATTCCTAAATATTCCAGGTAATCCCTCCTCCAGTCGAACGGATATGATAGTCTTAATTCATCCATATCAGATTTATGCAAGTGGAAAGGTAGGGCCTGGATGTTGGATACATTTAATTTATAATAAGATACTTCTCCAAACTGGAGTAGAATAGTATTGCGAGATTTTAGAGAGTCTTTTGGGGTTTTGAGTGCTAGAATGACATCATCTGCAAATAACCCTATTTTGTGAGTGGATCCCTTGATATTAATACCTGCGATTTCTGGGGTCGTCCTAATCAGTTAGGCCAGGGGTTCCATTGCCAGGACAAAGAGAAATGGATATAAGGGGCAGCCTTGACGCGTCCCATTAGTTAGAGAAAACGTTCTGGATTGGAAACCCGAGGCCGATACATGAGCTGTGGGTGCACTGTATAGTGCCTTTATCGCAGTAATAAAAGATTGTGGAATATCAAATCTGCTCAGTGTCTTCCATAGATATCCCCAATGTACCCTGTCGAACGCCTTCTCTGCATCCAATGAAAGGAGCAGAGAAGGAGTTCTTGTTGAATTGATCTGCTGAATTAAGTAAATGAACTGTCTCGTTCCATCAGGTGCTTGTCTACCTCTCACGAATCCTACCTGGTCATTATTGATCAATAAAGGTATTAGATTAGTTAATCGCTTCGCTAGTATCTTCGAATATATTTTTGTGTCGTTATTAATAAGGGATATAGGCCTAAAATTAGAGCATCTGACAGGAGTTTTACCCGGTTTTGGCAAGGTGACAATCTGTACGGACAAAGACTCTCCTGGTATCTTCCCCCCGGACTTATAGGAGTTGAATAATTTGGACATATGAGGAATTAAAGTTTCTGCATAGGTCTTTTAGTATAAAATGGTGAATCCATCATGACCAGGGGCCTTTCCAGATGGCATGAGCTTAATCGCCTCGGCTATCTCTGCTTCAGATATATCACGCTCAAATTTTTCCAAATTATCAGAAGACAGCCGAGGCAACGGAATCCTGTCTAAAAAATTATTAATAGTCGCCTCAGACGGATGGGTGAGATTTACATCATTGGTCACTAATCTTATTCAGGTGAAATATTTTTTGTCCCTGGTCATCTATTAAGTACGCAATTTTAGAATGGGCATTCACCTGCCGGAGTTTGGACACCAGGAGAGTTGAGGCCTTGTTACCCTTTAAATAAAACACTTTCTTGAAGCGTCTCACCATGAGAGTAGTTCGATCCAAATTTATTTTGTGAATTTTTTATTTAATCTCCCCTATCATTGCTGACAGGGAGGAAGATGGACCGAATTTATTTGCCTGATTTAGGTTGTACAGTTCTTTTTCCAAATTTCTTAAGTTGCTGTTATTTTTCCTCTTCAAGTGAGACGCCCTAGAAATGAAATGGCCTCTCAACACAGCCTTGTGCGCATGCCATGGAACCACCTCGCCAGGAACCTCATGCGAAACATTTTCCAAAAAATAGTCATTCAGTATCCCTTCAGCTAGCGATCTATTTTTAGGATCATCTAATAAGTAATCACTCAGTTTCCAGTGCCTATTGGGGGAGAAAGAAACCATTTTGTCTATATGCAAAGTTATGGGAGCATGGTCAGACCAGTTGACATCTAAAATATCAGATCTTGAGATGTGTGGTATGAGAGTGCCCTGTATCAGAAACCTGTCCAGCCTGGAATACATGTTCTTAGATACTGAGTAAAAATTATAGTCTCTTTTATTCTCATGCATTAATCTCCATGGATCATATGTCCACATTCAACCATATATTTCGAGCATTTCACAGCTAATCTATCACTATCTCTCCTATGGAGTTTATCCAAATTATCCCTTGCATTATCTAAGTCGCCACCCATAACCAGGTATATGGTATGGATTGGTAAGGTTACCAATGTTAGGTATACAATTGTCAATGTGTACTTTCCTAACACGGGTCAGCTTACTTTCTTTAGGAAAATTATGGATTTGGTGAATGAGAACATGAAAGGGACTTTGGTGATGTGTGGAGATATGAACACATCACCAAAGTCCCTTTCATGTTCTCATTCACCAAATCCATAATTTTCCTAAAGAAAGTAAGCTGACCCGTGTTAGGAAAGTACACATTGACAATTGTATACCTAACATTGGTAACCTTACCAATCCATACCATATACCTCCCGTCATCATCCATCATTATCTTTTCTGTAGAATTGGCCACATTCCTGCAAAAAAAAAAATGGAAGTACCTCTAGACTTAGTTTTGTAAGTACAATGAAATTGGGAAGGGAATAACCGTGTCATAAATTTTTACTCTTTTCCTTCCTTAAGATGAGTCTCTTGAATACAGACAATATCTGATTTGTTGGATTTTACTTCTTTGAACAATAGTCGCCTCTTGTGAATGGTGTTCAGGCCCCTCACATTAAATGACATGAGTTTAATGACCATGACTCAAATCAGAGTACACAGCCATTAAAAAGAGATTGTATAGAAATGTGGGGGCCTGAAGGCCTGCATCCCAAGAGGAGAGTTATGAAATCCAACAATCGTAATAACAAATACATTTGTTTAGACAAGAGTGAGCGTGCTAAAACATTTGAAGCATAACCTGTTAACTTCTTGAATTGTTTACAGTGCATTAGTAAATGGATGGGATAAAAAGGAAAAATGAAAAAAATTGGGAATGATAAACTTGGATAAATTCCCCTATACGGGGAGAAAAAAAAAACTATGTTTAGAAAAAGGGCCATCCCTTTCACACCTTGCAGAAACCCCTTTTGATCAAAAGAGCAATTTCTCTCTGCCATTTGTCCTCTACCCATGGGTCAAATTATTGATGCAATACTCTAGTTGTATTAAATAGCAATATTCCATGGTGTAATAATAAATTATGCACCTTTGCCGTGACATACAGTGCTTTACATTGCAGGATTAAAATGACAGGGCCATTGCACCCAAACCACTTAATTGAGATGAAGTGGTCTTCGTGACTTTAGTGTAAAAGAAATGCTATAACTTTAAAAAGAAACAGAGTAGCATACTTCTCAACTGTCCCTATTTAAGAGGGACCGTCCTTATTTTGAGTCCAAATCCTTCTGTCCCTTTTTTATACTAATGTTCCTTTTTTCTTTTGTTAGTGTGTCTTGCGTGTTTAACAGAGCTCCACAGCAATAATACTCACAGTAATGTGTCATCTCCGTAAACTGACCTGGATGTTGCGGCCCTTTTGTTTTAACCCTGCTATCAAAAACATTGCTGTTTAGTAGATATGACAATGTTATGATTGCAGGGTTGACCCACACTGCGGCACAGTGAAGTGTTTAGTTCGTGCACTAGCCTCTGAATGCTTCCCAATGGGGAGGCATTTGATTTACTGAGATTATCAAATTTAATAATCTCAGACTAGGAGACAGAGCGACAGGATGGAAAGAGGTGGAGCGGTGATGGACAATAATCTAACTACCTACTATGACACTATGGCATTGATAAATAAATGCTTTATTGCTAATGCTATAGTGTTCCTTTAATGGGACACTCTAGGAACCAGAACAACTGTAGCTTAATGTAGTGGTTCTGGGGCAATGCATTCTCGGCAGTGTAGACAAAGTCCAATTGGACAACTACTAAAGGGGCATTCTGGTTTCAGTCCTGCAAAGACGCTGAATGCTCCACATTGAGATCTTTGAGATACAATAACTCAATTATTTTATTATATTTGTATTCCTAACACTAGAGTGTTCAGCTAGACCAGCCTTGTATGAATCCTATTTCATTTTCTCTCTTTAAAATATATGATTATAAAATTAGAATTTAGGAACACTCTGAGTACCACTGAGGTTCTCAGAGTTTGCCTTCCCCTTAAAGTATGCTAACAATATGGAAACTGCTCTGAATCATCAAGCGCAATCCTGTGTACAAAGTAGCACCGTTTTAAATACAGCTTTTTTTTAAATCACAGCATGGGTTCTACTCCAAAAGGGCCAATCACTGGAACACCAACCATGAACCCTACTGTGTCCCAGACTGACAAAAGATGCCGACAAACACACACACGTAAACCCCAAAATCTCTACTTACACCTTTTGCATGTTTGTTCTAAGAACCATACACTCAGCTATTTCTCAAAAAGAACCAAGGACTTAAGAAAGTAAAATAAATGTTTTAAGTCACACAAACAAGAGGCATACACCCCATTATTTCATGATTGTGTTTTTATTAGACTTTCCGGTGGAGGAATTGCTTATTCACAGTGAGCTAGCAAGTAAAAAAGAAGTTCCATGCACGCCCGTCCATAGCGTGCGCAAAAGTGATCTGAAAGTAGAATGCAAAGAACTTATCAGTTCTCGACGAGCTTCCTTTGAAAATTGCGGCCATTCTTTAAGTCATTGTTTAACATTTTTTGTGTAGCATAAAATAAACAAATACAATGACAAATTACTCTGGGAATCCAATTCTGTAGCTTCTAGGGATTTCCAGCACGACTGATTAACTCTATCTGCACCAAAAGTGTAAACTGCATAACTGTATGGTGTTTAGAGAATTTACTGTAAAACAAACTATCTAAAAAAAATTAAAACAATCAGTAAAATAAGTGATCTATGTATTGTTTGCTTATTTAAACTCGACACATAAGGACATTGGTAAATAATGCCATAGGGGTATGATAAAATGGAGCAATAATAGAGGTAGGATCTCCTGCGTTGTGGTGGTTTGTATGATTCTGCGCACGTGGCGTTTTGATTCGTACAGTTTCTTTGCAAGGAATCCAAGATGGCAATGATTTGTGAAGGAATGTCTCGAATGGCAGAACAGTTTACATTTTTGGATGGCTCCCATTCGTAAACAGAATTCTGTCTTATGGAATAAAACACTTTTTAAATCATGTTTAAAGAACCTGATAAACAGCCTAATTTGTGTAGAAAAATATATTTTACCTCCGTTTTAGGGATTTGAAAATAAACTACATTGAGCTATATTAAAAATACATTAAGCTATAAATTATATTGAAATGTTGTGAATCACCGGCTCTTATGGTAAATGGAAAGGTCATATCTGCATAATTGAAAATAAAACATAGATTTACCCCTCTTTCTATTGTCATTTGACATCTGCCATTATGTCACCTGTACAACATGAGACCATTCCGCTGGTTCATAGTTTTTGGACATTGGCATATGATTAACAGACAATCATGCAATGCCCCAACAGCATTGCCAAGGCAGTAACTGGACAAAGCATAATATTCACAAGGCATTTGGGTATACTGCACAATTTTTGCAATGTAGTGTACGGTACAGGCTAAGCAGAACATGTCTAGATTAACGATTGAGAGAGAGAGAGAGATACAAAGCTATGCAAGGTCATAGACATGTTGATAAAAGTATTAAAGTAGGCTATGAAACATGCTTATAATACTGAGATGTAGTATTCAAAAACCAAACTAACCAGGTGCAGCACAGGTGAGTGGGTCAGCACCATGTTGTGGACTGGGATAACCCCCACCGGTCCAGAGGGGGCAGGTAGGAGCAGGATGAGTCCATTCCGATGCCTCTCCACCTCCCCCCACCCCCCAACCGCCTGTAGGCCGCAACCCCGTCCTGTCATGGAGCCTTGAGCCGCCAGCGATATTACCGCAGGTGTGCAGTCACAGGGGTCCTCGAGAGTGCATAGCTTGTGTGAGATGAGTTTGAGGCAGCGTTTGGCTATTTAACCGGGTAAATTAGTGTTTCATCCCTGAAGCATCCCCGAAGCGAAATGAAAGCATTATTATTATTAGTTGTTATTGATACATAGAATTTTATAACTGTTAGCAGAGGACAATATTTCAATACAGACTGCTATTTGAAAAGTATATTTGAACAAACCCTTGTTCTTCTTTCTTTATTCAGATTAAGGCCCTTTCAACTCAACAAAGGAGCTGTCTAAGAATTTGTTGAAGCATTTATTTTCCCAAAGGTGATGGAGGAGCCCATTAAAGACATCATGGGGACCTCTAAGGGGTCGGAACCCATAATGATGGAGAAGAAAAACAATGATTATGTAATTAAAGCTGTTCCAAGGATCAATGAAACTCAGCTGACGGCTGCAACTGGTGGAGTAGAGCTCTCGTGTTATAGATGCACCATCCCTTTTGGTGTGGTTATTCTTATAGCCGGAGTGGTGGCTACCGCCGTGGCGTACAGTTTTAATTCCCATGGATCCATCATCTCTGTGTTCGGATTGGTCATTCTATTTTCTGGACTCCTTTTGGTATGCTTGAGCGCTGTGTGCTGGAAAGTTAGGCAACGGAAAAAGAGAGCGAAGCGGCGAGAGAGCCAGACAGCGTTGGTGGCGAACCAGAGGAATATACATGTTTAAGGACAACAGAACAAAACAAACAGTGACGCTCTGAATAATCTGGACCAGCTGATGGAGTTGGAAAGGAAAAGGTCCAGTGGTTTGGAAAAGTTTGGATGGATCAAAGACAGTGAAGATGCTTCATACTTCAAGCCACTCTCCAGTGAGAAGCAGCGATTGGTGAAATGCGTTGGTGTACCAGTGCAAATTGTGACCTATAAATCTCTATCAGCATAGTTGAATAAATTGCCTAAATCATATGTACTGTTGTAAATGTAGAGCACGGGTGGCCAGCAGATAACTCCTACAGCTGTGGAACTACGACTGCCATGATCCTGAGACAGCTAACGGGTAGCTGATTGTCATAGGAGTTGCAGACCTGTAGGTTAACTCCGATGTAGAGCATGGGATTTGTTCTGTATTACAGTGATAGCAGAATTACAAGCAAACATTAGTTCATGAGAATCTTTTTTTAATATTGATTACTTTGTGTATGCTTTGCGTTATCACCACGCAGTCTGGTGTCCGAATTACCCTCTCAGTAAAGGAATAGATCATTTGAATACCAGATAGCAGAAGTAAAACTTTTTTTTTTTTGGTAGCACAATGTACAATATGTTTTATGTTTCAGATTGCTTCCATGTAGGATAGAAATATGGGTAAAATGTATTCTGGCCCCTTTGAGATAATACTTTCACATATAAATTTCAGTAATTCCCTCTAGAAGCAGATGTTCCATTTGTTTCTGATTTGATGGGGTTGTACAGCCTGTAATGATGGGAGTTGTGGTTTAAACAGCTGGAGTGTTGGGGATTGTGGAACCCTAATGCTTAAACACATCCACACGCTAAAGGTTGGCTAAGCATTATGGGAACGGATTATAGCATCTACCAAGTTGTAACAATAGTAGTGTAGGCATAGTCTAAAACTAGATCAATCATGGTATTAGGAAAAGGCAGAAACATCGGTTTGAACCCTACAGTCAATAACCATGACAACACAGCACAAAACAATCAAACGTTTAGAACCTGTGTGTCAATAACTAGACCGGTTGAGTAGTATCTTGAAAGCACATTAGTCACACTGACACAATGGGCAAGTGACTAGACCAGTGTAGACATCAAGCCTTGGCATCAAGGGCGAGAAACTTGACCAGTGTGGCCACCAAACCATGGCACCAAGGTTCTATGAACTTGAATCTTGTGGCCACTAAGCCATGGCGCTAAGGATCTAGATTAGTGTGGCCACTAAGCCACTGCAGCAAAGCCAAGGAATGTATCCAGTGTGTCCACCAAACCATGGCACTCAGTGTACTTACATTATTTTACCCCCCAAAACTGTCCTTTATAGACTGTTAATATCCTACGGTTTTAATATATATAAAAAAAAAAGATATAAATTGCAATACGTTAGACACTATCTAATTAACTTAAACACATTATAAAAATAAGCACTCTTTTAATGGGACAGGAAAGCCTCTCAAAAATGTAAATTTGTGTTGGTGTTGATATTGTTGTTCTGTAATTCTCTAATGAAACTTGTTAAAACAAAACAAACAAACAAAAAAAAACACTTAGATATCAAACCTGTCCATTATTTACCAGAGACAACTATTTTTAACTCCAGAATTTCCATGGGACATGACCAGCGATGACCCGAGGGTGTATAGTATTTTTTGCCCGTTCAGAGAGCCATCATTTAATTAATCAGAAAATTTGAAAATTGGGCAGACTAGATGGGCCGAATGGTTCTTATCTGCCGTCACATTCTATGTTTCTATGTTTAATCAACATTCCTGGAAACATTAGGATTTTTCTCCAGCGGAATGTTCCTCTACTCCTATGGATACAAGGAGTTGGCTTTAAACAAAGATAGTAGTAAACAGACAGAATAATCGAAATATTCAGAAATAGATAGTATGCCCTAGATGTCTGGGTCAAAAAGGGAAAGAAACACATATTAATCTCTAATGTAATAGGAGCCACCTGATTAATGAATTGATTTCATACTGACAACATAATAATTATATAATTATAATATTTCATTATATTAATGTCATACAATGCCAAAATCATTCCGCGAGCCTTCTGTGTGGCATCTATGTATTTTGGGTAACATGACCCACGTGGAAATACTACTTCGACAGATCGAAAGGTTTAAAGAGAAAATTAAAACAAAGGAACAATTACTTACTAACCTAAGAATGGTTTGGGTTTCACCAGTGAATTTCAAATTTTGGGAATTTTTTTTTTTTTTTAAAGTCCGGTTCCTGGTAAATTCCTGACAATTTATGGTTTAGAGAATAACCCCGAGGGTCAAACTTAATCTCTTTATATTTCATGCATTCTGTGGAACTGTGTGTTCACACATTAACAAATGCAGTAGAAAACCAACACCATGAGAACATGAAGCTCCTTTGTGTAAAAATACAGAAAATTTAAGAACACTAAGTTTAATGCTTTTTAAAAAAAGTATTTTAAATGCACCCAGCTAGTTGTTTCGTGGCTAGTTTATGATATTATTTACTGTTCCTATAACCTAATACAAATGATGCGCTAATTCAACAAAATGATGGATCCCTGCTAATGGGTTTAATTTTGTAAATTAGAGGGGGTAATCGATTGCCTTCCCTAATAGACATTGAATGGATTTGTAAAAGAACCCTCACTGTGAGATGTAGCATTAAAAATTTCCAATTGAAAACTAACAGCGCAAGAATTAATGTACAGTTATACGTTCGCAACCTTCCTTTGAGTTTAGCGCAGTGATGACTTACCTATCGTCTTGCAAAGCACCATGGGAAATGCATTTCACAAACATATAGAGTGCTAAGGTAAGCCAAAACTGATTTAGCCTTACCGTTTGCTGTAAGTGTTCCATATATTTACAGCAAATGACATTGGTGGTACTTGTAGTTTTAAAAAAAATAATAATTCTTATTCGTATTGTTATAATTATTGTGTATTTAGAGCTCTATTTGTAATTCTATTTGTCAATAATGAGCACTGCAAGGTGTGATTTGTATCTAGAACTGTCATCTTTTTGTAAAAATGAACATCAAATTCTAGCACTTTCTGGTCTGTTTTTGTATAAAATATACATTTTATTAAAAAAAAATACATATATCAGTGCTGCTAAAATTTGTAAATTACTGGTTTTTGATGAGGAATAATAAAAACGGCAAATTGCATTTAATTCTAATTTGACCTTAATGCATCAGGGGATTTTTATTTATCTTGAAAGATGTATTTAAAAAGAATATGCAGAAATGTTTTATTTTTAAAGGGAATCCATATGGTCAGTGTTTTTAATGCATTATATAGTTAATTAAAGGGACTCTCCAGTGCCAGGAAAACAAAACGTTTTCCTGGCACTGCAGGTCCCCTTTCCCTCCTACCCCCCATCCCAAGTTGCTGGAGGGGTTAAAACCCCTTCAGTGACTTACCTGTATCCAGCGCTGATGTCCCTTGGTGCTGGTTCAGGGTCCGCCCACGCTCCTCCCCTGCCGACATCATGCGGCGGGGGAGACCTATTGTGCATGTACGGCCGCTGGCAGGGGAGAGGCGCATTAGACCTCCCCATAGGAGAGCATTGAAAAATGCTTTCAATGCTTTCCTAGGGTGAATTTGGCGACGCTGGAGGTACATAGTGTGAGGACGTCCAGCGTCACTATAGCACATGGAATGTGTGCTATAATACCGGAAGTGCACTTTACTGGCTGTCTACTAGACAGCCACTAGAGGAGGAGTTAACCCTGCAAGGTAAATATTGCAGCCTATGAAAACTGCAGTAATTACACTTGCAGGGTTAAGGGTAGTGGGAGTTGGCACCCAGACCACTCTAATGGGCAGAAGTGGTCTGGGTGCCTGGAGTGTCCCTTTAACTAAAAATGCAGTTCATAGAAAATAAAATAAAAAATTATTAATCAAAGTTTCTTGCGGATAGACTATTTAGTGGGTCTACCAGCACCAGAATACCAGAAATACATGCTCCAATTAGGTTCATTTTGGTCTTTGGAGTCAATTCTTATCCCATAAAGTCCTGTTGAGCAGAAGTTTAGTGATAAGTAGGTTACCCTTTATGAATACTGAGAATGAGTGGAAAGCTTCTGTCCACTGATAGCAGTTATACCGTGTCTGCTATTGGTTTGCACTTAGCTCTGTTCACTGCTTAGTGAGCTGGGATTTTGCAGCAATCGATACAACTGCGGAACACTCAATCCAAGTTGTGGATCTCAGTTCGAGTTATGCACGCAGCATATGCATTTGGTATGTACAGCTTGGATGAAAATATAAACATTTAGGTAGTGTGTGTCATAGGAACTGTTGGGAGCTTGGGTGAGCATGCTGCTCAGGTAATGTGTGTTATATGAGGTGCGGGGAGCTGGAGTGAGTGTGCTGCTCATTTAGTGTGGGTTATAAGAAGTGTGGGGATCTGCAGTGAGCGTGCTGCTCATTTAGTGTGGGTTATAGGAGGTGTGGGGAGCTGCAGTGAGCATGCTGCTATGGTAGTGTGGGTTATAGAAGGTGTGAGGAGCTGCAGTGAGAGCGCTGCTAGGGTAGTGTGGGTTATAGGAGGTGTGGGGAGCTGCAGTGAGAGCGCTGCTAAGGTAGTGTGGGTTATAGAAGGTGTGAGGAGCTGCAGTGAGAGCGCTGCTAGGGTAGTGTGGGTTATAGGAGGTGTGGGGAGCTGCAGTGAGAGCGCTGCTAAGGTAGTGTGGGTTATAGGAGGTGTGAGGAGCTGCAGTGAGAGCGCTGCTAAGGTAGTGTGGGTTATAGGAGGTGTGGGGAGCTGCAGTGTGCGTGCTGCTCAGGTAGTGTGTGTTATAGGAGGTGTGTGGAGCTGCAGTGAGCGTGCTGCTCAGGTAGTGTGGGTTATAGGAGGTGTGGGAAGCTGCAGTGAGCGTGCTGCTTAGATATTGTGGGTTATAGGAAGTGTGGGGAGTTGCAGTGAGTGTGCTGCTCAGGTAGTGTGGGTTATAGGAGGTGTGGGAGCTGCAGTAAGTGTGCTGCTCAGGTAGT